GATGAAGAAAAAAATACACTTGATGGAATTCCCATTGAAAACAATTTACTCAAAAAAATTCAGTGGAAAAAAATTAGCAATCCCTTTTTTAAGAAATCTGGAATAAGAATTAATTTAGCTGTATTTTAAAAAAATACAAGCATTTAAATAAAGCATGCCATTTTCCTTTAATTAATAAACAAAAACAAAAACAAAACAAAACAAAACAAAAAGACCCTTGTGTTACAGACTCAAGCAATGCTAGGTGCATCTGCTAGTGGTTATTTAATTGATGATTAATATAATACCTAGAATCCTCAATATATCCAAAATGTGTAACTGCTAAATATGCACTTTTTAACAGCCTAGCATTCAATAACTGCCTGGACATTTGTGAGGTGTCAATGAGGTCAGGAACCTTATAAATCAAATAATCAGAGTTGGAAGACACCTCAGGAGGTCATTGAGTCCAACCCTCTGCTAAAACCAGGACCATTCCCAACTAAATCATCCCAGCCAGGGATTTGTCAAGCTGGGACTTAACAACCTCTAGAGATGGAGATTTCACCACTTCCATTAGTAACCCATTCCAGTGCTTCACCACCTTCCTAAGTGAAATAGTTTTCCTGATATGCAACCTAGACCTCCCCCACTGCAACTTGAGACATTGCTCCTCGTTCTGTCATCTGTCACCACCGAGAACAGCCCCTCTCCATCTTCGTTTGATGCAATACTCCAGGTATGTCACAACCACCACCTTCCCCATGTTCACAGAGCCAGTTACCTCATCACAGAAGGCAATCAGTTTGGTCAGGAATGACTTGCCCTTGGTGAATCCATGTTGACCAGTCCCGATCACTTCTCTCTTCAAGTGCTTCAAATGAATTCCCCTCCATGATTTTTCTGGAGACTGAGGTGAGGCTGACTGGTCTATATTCTCCAGATTATTCTCTTGTCTGTTTTTAAAAGATGGGCACCACATTGGCATTTTTCCAATAGTCTGGGCCTCCCCCAATCTCCACAAGTTTTCAAAGATAATGGCTAAAGGCTCTGCAATCACATCAGCCAACTCCCTTAGCACTCTGGGATGCATTAGATCCGGCCTATAGATTTCTCTATATTCAGTTTTTCTAAACAGTTCTTAACCTGTTTTTTCTCCACTGAGAGCTGCTGACCTCCTCCCCATACTGTGCTGAGTCTTTACTATAATAGATGGTGGCATGAGAAAAAGTGAAGGTACGGATTTTATTTTCTTTGATTTTGGTTTCAGATAAATATATGGTGGCATTAACTACCATCATAACTCCCATATTTCACCCTGCAATACACATAACTGACATGTGAAAATTGGTCAGCAGTTTCAAGAAAACTATTTTAATCAAGTTTAAGAGTTTCAATTTCTTTCTATTAAAAAGACTATCAAATACTGTTTTATACATATACAAAACATAAATGAAAAATGTCAGTCATTTTGGACTCATTCTAAGATTTATGTATAACAAACCCCCAAATCAAAATCCTGTATCTGTCAATACTGCATCATTCGCATTACAAGAAAGTGTTGTGATGATATTGGTTAACCTTGAATAAAGCACAGAACTATAAAACTGAAATGCTTTAGTTTTTTCCACCATAGATATTTAAATTTAAAAATTCAGATGTAGCCACTCTCATTTATACACACTGATAGCTTTATTCATAGGTGGCAATCCTTACAGCATTGCAACATGTTCTGCAGCCAGGTACGTCCCTTACTTAAATTTCCTTAGCGCCCCATCGCATCCAGAAATCCTCTTTATGTAAACAGATGACACTATAGTAGTTCATATTGCTTTGCTGTTGGAACTAATCACAACATGCACTTTGTTCCCAACATCGGTGTTTTCTTAAGGATCAGCTGTTATTCTGGATAATTACACCTGTCAAAATAGAAAATCTTAGTGGAAAACCTTTAAACTTTTCTACAATAATGTAAAAAAAATTACTACAAAAAGGAAAATGTAATGGAAACTATCAGAAATAATTAGTGCCTAATTATTTTAGTGACAGTATTAGGATGGCAGAAATAGAAGCTGTCCCCATGAATATCACACATACAAAATCCGCCAATTAAATGGGGAATAAAACCCCATAATAGAGTTCCAACATTGGCCTCATAAATAGATACAGACAAGCCACATCTTTTTTCTTCCATTCTGAGACTTTACTGTAATAGATGGTGGCATAGGAACAACTTTGGTCTTTTGCTGCATCCTGAATATTCTCTCTTTATGGTTTTGATTTTTGATGGGTAGTAGACAATTATCTTGAACTGTCTATCCACATTTAAAGTTCACAGTCAATAAAGCCCATCCACATATTATAACGGTTAGGCTTCTACTTGAAATATTCTTCTTGAAATTTTGATAAACAGATTTGATAAACAATGTGGATCATCCTGTGACCTTTTAATTTTTTTCAGTGTCTATCTACATTTTTTGCTGATTAAGCAGATGTTGGAAAAAAGCCCAACCATTTGCTACCAATACCATAATTTTGAGTGACATAATTCTGCTATTCTGTAATTACTAGTGGTAGTACTGAAGTGATCATTGTTAGAACATGTTGCCACCTAGCTGCTAATATTTCTTAGTGAGTCAATATCCTGCTCTCTGCTGCACTACCTGGCTTCAGAAAGATGATTGAAATTAGAGCACTAAGATTGTACAGCCTTCTTTAAAAAAAAAACAGATATTTAGGACCAGATTATGGTTTATGGGATAAGGCAGAGGAAGGAAAGTTATGAGACTCTCTCCCAAGTTCACTCATATAATTCTCTCCCAAATAAATTCTTCAAAGTCAATGGAGGAACATAGGATGCAATTCTGGCCTCAGTGAAGTCAATGTGAGCTTTGCCACTACTTCAAAAGGATGAAGATTTCACCAATGACGTAATGGTTTTTGGTAGTCCTATCACTGATGAAAAGTAATAAGAGATGAAGTACCTTCTGGCAAGATTTTTCTCCACAGAATCATAGAATCATGGAACCATAAAGCTGGAAGAGACCGCAGAAGGTCATCAAGTCTAGTCCCCTGCCCTAGGCAGGACCAATCCCAACTAAATCAACCCGGCCAGGGCTTTGTCAAGCCAAGACTTAAACACCTCTAGGGATGGAGACTCCACCACTTTCCTAGGTAACACATTCCAGTGCTTCACTACCCTCCTAGTGAAATAGTTTTTCCTAATATCCAACTTGGACCTCTCCCACCTCAACTTGAGACCATTGCTCCTTGTTCTGCCATCTGTCACTACTGAGAACAGCCTCTCTCCATCCTCTTTGGAACCTCCCTTCAGGAAGTTGAAGGCTGCTATCAAATCCCCCCTCACTCTTCGCTTCTGCAGACTAAACAGACCCAACTCCCTCAGCCTCTCCTCATAAGTCATATGCTCCAGCCCCCTAATCATTTTGGTTGCCCTCCACTGGACCCTCTCCATTGCGTCCGCATCCTTTTTGTAGTTGTGGCCCAGAACTGGACACAATACTCCAGATGTGGCCTCACCAAAGCCGAATAAAGGGGAATAATGACATCTCTGGATCTGCTAGCAATGCTCCTCTTAATACAACCTAATATGCCATTAGCTTTCTTGGCTACAAGGGCACACTGTTCACTCATATCCAGCTTCTCATCCACTGTAACCCCCATGTCCTTTTCTGCAGAACTACTACTTAGCTGGTTGGTCCCCAGCCTGTAACAATGCTTGGGATTCTTCCGTCCCAAGTGCAGGACTTTGCACTTGTCCTTGTTGAACCTCATCAGATTTCTTGTGGCCCAATCCTCCAATTTGTCTAGGTCACTCTGGACTCTATCTCTGCCCTCAAGCGTATCTACCTCTCCTCCTAGCTTAGAGTCATCTGCAAACTTGCTGAGGGAGCAATCCATCCCCTCATCCAGGTCATTAATAAAGATATTGAACAAAACCAGTCCTAGAAC